GAGAGCAGCCGCTTCGAGGAATGGGAGCTGTTACGTTCCCATCAACGCCGCTCTTCTGATCACCACCCCTTGGCCCGAAGGCATATCCAGATTTGTTTGCATTTTCAAAGGCTTAAGTAATCTGAAACAGGATCTCTCCTCTCCACCTCGCCTGGTTTTCCTTGCTACAGTGGGAGAAAATGGCACTTATTTCGTACACTGTAACATTCTTCTCCAAATTTGCCTCATGATGGCCCTCCAGATGTTGCACAACTCTCGGCAGCCTCAGGCAACATGACCAAGAATGAGGAGAGGCAACATCCCACAACATCTGGATAGCCTAAAATCCCCTTGCCCGTGATCTCAATGTGATGCGAAGGTCCATCTGTTTCAGGAAATGTGAGTTTCTAGTCTTGGAGACCACCATGCTTAAGCGGTCGCCTTCAGAGAGGCCCCAAAAGAACTGCAGCCTGTGATCAAGTTAGCCCCCTCCCCAGGGTCTGGGAACAAGCCACAGATGTGCTAGCCCTGTTTGGATCCGATACAATCTCAATGTTTAAATTATCTATGGGTTTGAAGCTCTTGTCATTGAAGGACAATTGTTTGAATATTGTTTGCAAACCTTTATTGTTTTCCAAACAACCATGTTGGTTGAATCACAGAATCATAATGCTGGAAAGGAATATGAAGGTCTTTCTAGGCAGGAATGTTTATTCCATCTTGGTTGTCCAATCTTTCTCAGGCACAAATAACCAGGAAGCCAAATAATTTATTATTGCTACCTACTTACACAAGACTTTAGTCAACTGTCAAATCTAAATTGGCTCTAGATAAGGATCAAGGGAATTCACCTGGGTCTCTTGTGGCAATGCAATGATTCCAAACTGATGACACATTTAACTCCACCTTCTAGCTCAGTCTGCTCTTCTCCTACAATCTCTTCTCGGAAACCTCCAGAGATGGAGCACCCACAATCCAGGAGGCAAGCTTTTCGACTGATTGATCATTCTCACTGTCAGGAATTTCCTCCTCATTTCTAGATTGGATCTCTCTTTAATGAACTTCCACCCATTGCTTCTTCTCCTGCCTTCAGGGCAGGGGTGGGATTCTACAGGTTCGCACCTATTCGCTAGAACCGGTTGTTAACACTCTAAGCAGTTCAGAGAACTGGTTGTTAAAAGAAATTACTGGGCTAATCCTGTAAGGAAGGCAGGAAGGAAACATTCTGGTGTTGCTTACAGAAATTGCCTCTCCATTAACCCTTATTACATTCTTGGCAAGACTAGACTTCCTGTCTCTGGAACTTCTCTGTGTTTTTTTTTCCCTTCCTTTGCTGGTACTCTGCTTGTGTGGAGTGACCATTCAAAGTTACAATGGCCCTGAAAAAAAAAAAGGCTTATGACCCTTTTTCACACTTACGACTGTTGCAGCATCCCCACAGTCACGAGAGGCCAGGCGAGGAGATCGGCGCGCCTCGATGTGAGTGATGTTGAGTTGGCCATGCCCAGCCAGTCACTTGACTACCAAGCCATGTCCACCCAGTCACATGACCACCGAGCCACGCCCACCACCGAAGCCATGTCCACAGAACCGGTTGTTAAAACATTTGAATCCCACCCCCGCTTGAGGGGCTTTGGAGAAGAAGTCAACCCTCTCTTCTCCATGACAGCCCTTGAAGATGCTACCAAGTCACCCCTCGCGCTAAAAACTTCATTAGGCTAAACACACCCAGGTGCCTTACCCCACAGGCTTTACCCCGTACCACACTGGAGGGGGAAGGGACGATAAAATGGATGGGGAAGGCCAGGAAAGGATGAAGCAAAGCCTGTAAGTTTATCCAACATTTCATTTTTGGCAGAGGTTTCTCTGCTTCTGACATCAGCTCTGCTATTTCCAATCCCTGAGGGGGGAAAGGAGGGGGAACCAGGAGTGGGGAAGAAAATAAACTTGGAAAAAATAGGCCAAGATAGGACATATTTCTTTGGGTTTCTGCAGGGTGCCCTGGTTTGAAGGCTCGGTTTGTTTGGAGAAAGGGTTGGCGGGACAGCCGCCCCCCAGATGCGACTTAAAAAGCAGGGGTGGCCCGTCCACCAACATCCCATCACGAGCTCGAGGGGTTTGGTTTTGTTTTGATTTGGGTTTTGGGTTTTTTTTTTGAGCCTTCCCCAATCTCCCCCTCGACTTCGCTGAGCTGGCCTCCTTCCTGCAGCCTTTGAGCTGAGAATTGGAAACAGCAGGGGAAAAATAAATTAAAACACAGCCAAGAGTTTAAAGACACAAAATCCTCCGATAACTTGGCTTTCGGTCGCCTGGGCGTCCCACGGTGTGATGGCCTGCAAGAGGCCAAAAGTCTTTGGAGGATCCGGACCTCAGCTTTCAGGGCTTGACATCTGGGTTCTCCTCCACATTTGTGTGTGTGTCTGTGTGTGTGTGTGTGTGTGTGTGTGTTTAAAGGCAATGCCATTGGTTTAATGAGCCCAGGAAGGGCTCAGTATATGCAACGGGTTTGGTATCCTCTTCCCTCAATATATAAACAACGCAATAAAATTGCATCGCTCGGATTTCTGCACTGGGCCAAGGAACTTCAGCGCTCCAAAAGGATTTGTGAGAAGAAGGGGCCAAGCAAGGCTCCCCTCCCCCCCCCCCCCCCACCCCCCCCCCCCCCCCGAGCATGGAAAATAGGCTAAGATAGACTTACTATTTATATACTCTTCCTTTCTGCCCATAACTGAGAGGCCGGTCTCAGGGGAATTTTCCAAAGGCAACTTAAAAGCTGCGGACACTTGAACGTGTTGATATAGTTAATTGTACACAGGGTGATGAGAAGTTTAAGAAAGCTGAGAGGGATATGTGGATACTCAGCAGCAAGAGTGAGACTTCTGGTCTTTCTTTAGCGGGTCCCTCAAGAATCCTTAAGGCTGTTGGGTCAGTTCTTTAAATCTCCTTCAGGTGATAATGGCTGATTCCCTTGGCGGATCTCTCTCGTTCTCTCTATCCGTAAGATGGGATCTTGGAATTCCATCCAAGGAACAAGGTGAACCCCCCGGTTGTAGTATTTCTCTCCCATGCAATCAGGTCACCTCCATCTCAAGGTGCTTCCATGTGCTGAGAAAACTAGGTTGTCTACCTTCAAACCCAAGGGCAGATCAGGCACAAAACGGCATTAACTCATGATTTCTGTTTGGTGAGCTCTTGTTTTCAGTGAGAAGAATGTGGTTTAAGATACATAGCCAAAATGGCGTTAAGAGTTGTTCACCTAATCTCACATAGCTTTTTCTCTGGTAATATCACACTACTAACTACAGCATACAAAACATTTGCTAGACGAATACTCGAATACAGCTCATCAGTCTGGAACCCACATTACGTATCTGATATTAACACAGTTGAGAAAGTCCAGAAATATTTCACAAGAAGAGTTCTCCACTCCTCTACTTGTTGCAGAATACCTTGTGCCACCAGACTTGAAATTCTAGACCTAGAAAACCTACAACTACGCCGCCTTTGGTCTGATCTAAGTATAGTATATAAAATCATACATTGCAATGTCCTACCAGTCAATGAATACTTCAACTTCAACCATAACAACACAACAGCAAACAATAGATACAAACTCAAGGTTAATCGCACCAAACTCGATTGCAGGAAATACGACTTCAGCCACAGAATGCTCAATGTCTGGAATACTCTACCTGACTCTGTGGTTTCTTCCCCAAACCCCAAAAACTTTAACCTTAGACTGTCTACTATTGACCATGTCACGCCTTTCCTAAGAGGTCTGTAGGGGGCGTGCATAAGCGCACCAATGTGTCTACCGTCCCTGTCCTATTGTTTCTTTTATTTTTCTTATATGTATCCATGTATTCATAACTATGTTTTACTTATACCTATTATCTTGTAAGCAATTGACAAATAAAAAATAAATAAAAAATAAATCTGGATTAGCTTTACCAGGCCTTACATCTCATCCGTTTGGAACATCAGCTGGCCTGTTTCACCCATAAAATATAAAGGAGGACAGTCAATCTCTCCTTCTGCTATTTTCCTTTGCTCACACCTGTTTTCTCAAAGTTCTTTTTGTGTGGCATGTTGTGAATCCTTCTCTCTCACATAGCTGAGCATTACGTGCTTCGAAGTTGCAGCCTGTTCAGTTCCCTTCCGGGACATTGGCAGGCAAAGCCTTGGGGGAGTGCAGAAAAATCAACAGGGGCCTTTTTCAGGAATGAAATGAAGCAGAGTTTGGATTGGAAATTGACTTCAGAAAGAAGAGAAAGGTTACTGGGTTGCTTCAACAGGAAACAGCCTCAAAGCATAAGAAAATATTGTGGGTAAGCCGACACTTCTGTGCCCTGTCATGGAAGCAATCATAGGGCCAACCTTGAGTTTAAGAAAGTTTCGCTTTAGCTTGTTTAAGTTTTCAGTTTATTTTATTGTCCTGACAGGCAGAACAATTAACCAGTGGATTATTTTGCCTCCAGAAGCTGCGGGTGCTCCATCAGTGGAGGTTTTTAAGAAAAGATCGGACAACCATTTGTCTGAAGTGGTGTAGGGTTTTCAGCCTCAGCAGGGGGTTGGACTAGAAGACCTCCAAGGTCCCTTCCAACTCTGTTATTCTATTGTATTCTATTGTCATTGCGAAATTAAATGCCATCTTCAGTGTTCAAGAAAGATGTTATTGATTTGTCCTTCTGCCGGAAAAGCTCCGGTGTTTATTCACCCTTTCTCTGCCCTTGAACTAAATCCAAACAGAAATCTAACCCACTTGAATAAACTTACCTGCTGTTCCAAAACATAAGAGAAGCACAGAAACAAGAGGAGGGCGAGGGGAGGACATTTAGGCAAAGTCAAGAAAATAATTCACATTAGAAAGGATCGTTGTGCTTTGTTGCAGCGGTGAATTCTGTGTTTATCAATGATCTCCAACTAGCAATTTGCTTTTCCCGTTTATCTCCCTTTCCCAGCTTCCGATAACTCTGAAAATCTTTCTCAATGCACTTATTTCGTCTCTATCAGGGGTCTCCAAACTTGTGAACTTCAACTCCCAGAAATGTCACAAGGGTGAGGGTGCTGCTTTGTTCCCTATAGCACCTGAGCGCAGGATGGATGGAAGCTTAAGGAAAGAGAGAGATGCGTGCTGGAAATAAGGAGGAATTTCCTGACAGTGAGAACAATTCATCAGTGAGATGGCTGGTCTCCAGAAGTTATGAATGCTCCAACACTGGAAATTTTAAAGAAGAAATCAGAGAACCGTTTTCCTTGGATGGTATAAGCACTCCTGCCTTGGCAGGGGTGTGTGGAATAGAAAACATCCAAGGTCCCTTAGAGCCTTGTGATGGTATGATTCTTTTGTGACTTTTTTTTAAAGCTTTTGCCAAATAATTTCTGTCGACTGAAAAGCAAACGGGAAGGACATGCCTTTGTTCCGAGGTTCCCAACCAAGAAAATAAAATAATATTTGCGGGCTGAGATGGAAGACGCATGAACGATTCTGTGCACATTCTCCAAGCTTAAAATCCTAGTGCATGCTATAAACTGTTTGGTTTGACTTGGAGAAGTTGTGACTGTCCCTTTTTTCCTTCACCTGGTTCCAGGAAGCCCAAGAAAGCTGGATCGAGCGGCTCCTTCCTTGCCTATTTCGGAAATATGCCACCTAATTTCTCGCTGAACTTTTCTTTTCAGGCTAGAGGGAGAGAGTAACGCTGGAAGGCTAACCGTTGAAAACTGGCTGGTTTTAGGACCCTGTGAGCAGTTTGCTTGTAGAAGGTCCTAAAACATCCCCAGCATTTCTGAGAGCTGGTTGCTTATTCATTCAGAGCAGGAACAAAACCATCCAGCAACTGAGATCCACCAACTTCCTTTGCAAACAAGGGAATGTAAAAAAGAAAGAAAGAAAGAAAGAAACCCAACACACAGAAGACCAAAAAATCAAGGAAAACGTTTGAGGTTCTTCTCTCTCTTCTTCTCTCTCTCTCTCTCTCTCTCTCTCTCTCTCTCTCTCTTTCTCTCTCTCTCTCTCTCTCTCTCTCTCTTTCTCTCTCCCCTTTGCTCCAGAGCCTCATTCTTTGCAGGCTTTTTTCCCTCCATAACCTCAAGATGAAATTTTCTGAGAACTGCTGGGACGTCTTAGCAGAAGTGAGGAATGGACAGCGTTGAGATCGGCTTGCGGAGGGAAGCAGAGAAGGAAAGAAGCCAGTCCTTAGAATTCAGCTCCGGGGGCTGTTTCACGGAGGTGTTTTCCTACTCCGACGAACGTCCACCAAGGCCAAGCCTGTTGATCTCGGCCTCAACATGACAGCTCACAGCTTCTGGGACCTCTGGGTATTGATGGGTTCTGCTGCCTTCTTGCTGGTCCGTGGACAATATCCACAACGGGGCAATGCGGACAATGGTCACTGGAGGCAGATGATCCAGTGGGAGAATAATGGGAGGCTGTACAGTCTCCTGAACTCCGGCTCGGAGTATGTCCCGGCCAGCCACGTAAGAGCCGAGAGCAGCGCCAGAGTGATGTTGGCCGATGCTGCCACTAACCAAGGACAACGCACTGCAGGGAACACTCGAAGACAAGCGCCAACTTTACCCATCAGGTCAGGATCTGATACAGTCCGGGGACAAACCAGGCACCCCTTTGGTTTTGGGCAGGTCCCAGACAACTGGAGAGATGGAACCACCGGAGACAGTAGCTCCAACTCCCATCGTCCTTGGTCCTCCACGCCTCGTCAACGGCAGGTGGGCGCTGCGTCCTCTTCCTCTTCGTACGTCGCGTTTGGGCAGCTCTACCCACAGGGCAGCTACCCTCAGCCCCCTTATGCCAACCAGTATGAGGCCTATGACCCACAGGCGCCACGGGTGTATGACGAGAGCCACAATTACTACCGTACCACTGGGACGTGGGGCGGCGCTGTGGCAGCTGCCGCAGCCAGCGCTGGGGTGGTGAACCCTTTTCAACCCAGAGCGAGGTACGAAGAGTATTCAGAGGAACAGAATCCCTACCAAGCTCAACCCTATGCCCCTGTCCAGGAGAGGCCATATGTGCCTCCTGCCCAACAGCTCCCATCTCCGGATGGCTTAGACAGACGGTATTCCCACAGCCTCTACCACGATACTGGAACTAGCTTTGACCAAAATGTCCCGGATTCCTACGCGTCTACCCAGAATCAGGGCCAAGGCGTCCCTCTCGCAGACAACTTACATGTCCACTCCGCATCGCCTGCCAATGCTGGTACCGGCTATGGGAACGAGCCATGGGTGAGGCAGTATCCTCCTTTTGGGCAGGTTCCCGAACAGCCCTACATCCCTGCCCGCAACGTGGAACCCCAGCCTCCTTTCCGGCCCTTAGACCCCCAAGGGGTCCCTCGGCCCGAGCCCTACCTTCCTATCCGGAATTCTGAAACTCCCCAGGTGATTCCAGACAACCAAGGGGTCAACCAAGGCCGCATGAGTGTGGGCAGCATCTACAGACCAAATCAGAATGGACGCGGTAAGTCTTTGACTACGGCAGGGGTCTTCAAACTTGACAGCTTGAAGACCTCTACTCCCAGAATTCCTCCACCAGTCATGTTAGCTCAGGAAATTTGGGGAGTTGAAGTCCACAAGTCTTAAACTCGCCAGGTTTGAAGACCCTTGGACTTTGGGAAGAGTGCTTGAGGGGGAGGTGTCTCCTGTGGGATTTTGGAGAGTCCCAAAATTGGGACAGCTTAGGTTCCTTAGCTTTCTTTTTGGATTAACAAAACCCAAATGGGTGATTTTAATACCAGAGCAACGATGCTCAAAAGAATCATCTTCATCATTTTAGTCATTGTCTATCCGCTGTAGAATGGAGGCCTCTTCCACGTGTTTCCAACCCATACGATCCCAAGCTTTCTTTGGCCAATTGGTCTCAAAACACTTGTTGATGTCCTGGATCCATCTTGTTTTAGGTCTCTTTCATGGACACTTTTGATCCACTGGGATCCATTCTAGGACTGCCTCGGTCCACCTGCCATCAGTTCTTCTGGCTATGTGACCAGCCAATCTCCATTTCCATTCTTTTACTCTTTTGAGAGTATATTTTTGTTTGCTTTTCAATCCACGTGGAGGTCTTTCTATCTTGCCTTGTGATGCTGAGCATGGATCTTTCCCTGACTCTTCGCTCCATGCATAGCTTCTGCATCGATTGGGAGGTTATGATTGTGAGATCAAGAGAATATACTATCATAACTAGAATAGGAGGTAGTGCCAGACATCAAAATTGTCTAAGGAAGTGCTCCTTAGACGATTCATCACAGTCGATTCGTAATTTCTTTCAGTTTCATGTCCACATTAACCTCTAAGGTTTTTATCTATAACATCTGTATGGTCAAACTATGGCCAACTGTTGCTTTCCAAAGCAAATCAGGAAACCATGGGTTGAAATCCTGCATGATATTGAAGCTTAGCTTATCATCATATCTGAGCTAGTCACCATCATTATCTCATCAAGTTGGAGTAAGGTTCCTATAGCTATCAAGGTGCCCTATACCTGTCCTCTCCCCCAAGAGAAGACATCTTTTTCTGTTTCCTTATTTCAATTAGTTTTGCATTTAGTTGTCCTTCCATCTTCCCAGTTGTCAACACAATCCTCAAGATTTATAGCTGGGCAACCTTCCCGGGGCAGACATTTTCCCAAAGTCTTCCCAGTACCGTCCAAGTTGTAGATGGACTCCCTTGTTAGCCCAAAATTTCAGGACTTGTTGGAGTAAGTAAGGATGAGTAGATCAGATTCATGGTGTGAGCCGTGATTGTTCTTCATTATCTCCTTTTCTCCTTTTATGAATTGTGAAGCTTGTTGGGAGGAAGACGCTAAACTACAGGTGAAGGGCACTGTCCAACTATTTACAAAGTCTGCACTATTACTATTAATCTTCTTATCACTCCTTATCACCCATCCCCTCCCACTTGTGACTGTATGACTGTAACTTATGGACTGTTTCCTAGTATGATTTGATTGCTTATTGTCCCTATGACTATCATTAAGCGTTGTACCTGATGATTTTTGATTCTTGACAAATGTATCTTTTCTTTTATGTACACTGAGAGCATCTGCACCAAGATAAATTCCTTGTGTGTCCAATCACACTTGGCCAATAAAGAATTCTATTCTATTCTTTTCCATTCTATTCTATTCTATTCTTATTGTACCCTATGACTATCATTAAGTGTTGTACCTGATGATTCTTGACTCTTGATGAATGTATCTTTTCTTTTATGTACACTGAGAGCATTTGCACCAAGACAAATTCCTTGTGTGTCCAATCACTCTTGGCCAATAAAGAATTCTATTCTATTCTATTCTTTTCCATTCTATTCTGTTCTTATTATACCCTATGACTATCATTAAGTGTTGGACCTGATGATTCTTCACTCTTGACGAATGTATCTCTTCTCTTATGGACACTGAGAGCATTTGCACCAAGGCAAATTCCTTGTGTGTCCAATCACACTTGGCCAATAAAAAGAATTCTAATTCTAAGAACATGAGCCCTTCAAGTTCTCACATCCCTCAATCATGTACCAACCTCTTGCTTTGCCTAGTAATGTCCTCCCTGCCCATTGTTCTCCAGATGTCTTCCAGCAAGGAATGGCAAACTAATCAAGGGGAGAGCCAACCTAGAACCAAGGAGAAATTTCCTAACAGTGAGAACAATTAACCAGTGGAACCACTTGCCTCCAGAAGTTGTGAATGCTCCAACACTGGAAGTTTTTAAGAAGAGAGACTGGACAATCATTTGTCTGGAATGGTAGAGGGTCTCCTACTTGAGCAGAGAGTTGGACTAGAAGACCTCCAAAGTCCCTTCCAGTTTGTATTATGTGTTCTATTTAGTGTTTCCCTTCACTCACACTTTCAGGTCCAGCCACCCATTTCCACACCTCTCCACACCCTTTCTACCCAGCTGATGTACCTTTGCATGTTTTCTAGCCCCACTTCTTACCCACTATGCTGCTTCTCCCCACCCCGGTGATGTTTTCCGATCTTGCTGCTGGGACAAAATCGCAGAGTTTTTTAAAAGTTGTTTTGTTTCAATTACAAAGCGGTTTTCTTCCTCCCATCAACCCAGAAGACAGTAACGCCATGGTGGGAGAGACAGAGTTTCAGTATTCTAGCGCCCTCTACTGACAAACAAAAACATTGCATGTTTTCATAGTTTGGCTGTTATTCCCACCAATAATAGCCCTTCTTGGAGATAGATAGATAGATAGATAGATAGATAGATAGATAGATAGATAGATAGATGACAGATAGATAGATAGATAGATAGATAGATAGATAGATAGATAGATAGATGATAGATAGATAGATAGATGAGAGAGATAGATGACAGATAGATAGATAGATAGATAGATAGATAGATAGATAGATAGATGATAGATAGATAGATAGATAGATAGATAGATAGATAGATAGATAGATAGATGCAGGCAGGCAGAGGGTAGAGGATAGAGACAGAGATAGAGATAGAGGGAAGGAAGGAAGGAAGGAAGGAAGGAAGGAAGGAAGGAAGGAAGGAAGGAAGGAAGGAAATAAGTTTTAAAAAGATTGAGAATGCAAAAAACCCACAATAAAAACAATTAAATATAAGGCACCATGAAATGTTTTAAAACAAAAAAGGGGGACCACTACCTATTTTTGTGGCCCTAAACCTATCTCCTTTATGGAGGAAAACCTGCTGTGGTTTTCAGAAAGGACACCATTATGTGTGTGTGTGTGTGTGTGTGTGTGTGTGTGTGTGTGTGTGTCCCCTCCTCATTTAAATGATCCCTGGCTCCAACCATGGAGGACTCCATCACTAAAAGAATCAGGAAGCTAAACTAAGCCGTGGCTCGCTTTGCACGCTGCCCTAAGCTGTGGTTTGCAAATAAACTGCGATTTGTAGCTTAGCATAACGGGTGAATAAGACTCCCTGGCTTGTGTCCCCCCCACCCTGCCCCCAATTGGAGCAAAATTCCCTAAGCCAGGGGTGGCCTGAGACAAAGTGAGGGCTGAGATAAGCAATCTATCTTTTTAAACCCACCCCATAAGTCCCCCACCCCCCCTCCAGCTGACCAAATGACCAACAGATGCTAACCGCCTGCCTTGGCTCCGTCCACATGTCTCTGATTAGATTTATTTCCCTTTGCGTTTCTGTATATATGTACGGCGGTCACTTAGCAACGGCTCCACTTAGCATTCCTGCCTCAGTGTCCCACCGGGGCGGTTTTCTTTTTTCTTCCCCACCCCCCCGCCCCCCATGCCTGAGTAGGCGTTGGGGTGATTACATTTCCTCCTTTCTGCTTTCCACTTACTAAATAAACCCTGGCTTGGTCTGCAAGGGAGGAAGCGGGAGGACGTTTGTGAGATAACAACCTCACAGCAACTCTCCTTCCTTTCTGGTGCGTGGAAACCCTCCCACCCTAAAAGAGGCCTTGGACATCTTTAACCAAAGGGAGCCCGGAGCAAATTCCTTCTTCTGGATAATTCAGTTCTGTCCGGTGTGGAATCTCCTCTCTAGCGTCTCCCCCTGCCAGAGGGAAAATCTTTCAGATGTAAACAAGTCAGATAAGGTTGCTAAGCACACCAAAGCTGTGTGTTAGGCCTGAGAAGAAGCAGAATGTGCCCAGATATTCCCAGATTCAGAATAGAGCTGGAAAGGGACCTTGGAGGTCTTCTATTCCAACCCCTTGCTCAAGGAGAAGACACTATAGAACCGTGATGGCGAACCTATGGCGCGAGCCCCAGGTAAACTTACCTCACTGTGCATGCGTGCGCCTCCCAGCTGATTTTTGGCCTGTCTGGGGCCTTTTTCGGCTTCCCAGAGGCTCGAGGTAAGCCTCTGCAACCTTTGCAGGCTGAAAACCAGGCCCGTTTTGTCACTTTCCTGTATTTCTGGAAATTCTGGAAGTGACAAAACGAGCCCATTTTTTCGGCCTACAAAAGGCTGAGGAAGCTTCCCTCGAGCCTCTGGGAGGCCTAAAAAGACCTCAACTGGGCTGAAAATCAGCTGAGGTGCAGTGCAGATAAGGGGGCGGTGCGGGAAATCACGCGTGCATGTGTAGGGGGTGGTGGCCCTCACGCATTGCCTTCTGGGTGCTGGCACAGGAGCACACGCGCACAGGACAATTTTGGGCACAGGAGCCCAAAAAGGTTAGCCACCACTGCTATAGAAGTTGAGACAAGTAGCTGTCCAGTCTTTTAAAAACCTCCAGTGATGGAGAGTGTCCACAATTTCTGGTGGCCAGCTGTTCCACTGGTTAATTGTCCTCACTGGTAGGAAGTTTCTCCTTAATTCCAGGTTGCTTGGTTGCCTTCCTTGGTTAGTTTCCATCGATTGTTCCTTGTCTTTCCTTCTGGTGCTTTGGAGAATAATTTGACTCCCTCTTCTTTGTGGCGGCCCCTCAAATACCGGAACACCGTTATCATGTCCTGCCTAGTCCTTCTCTTCTGTAGACTAGCCAACCCAAATCTTGCAACTATTCGTATGTTTTAGTCTCCTCTTAGTTGCTCTTCTCTGCACTTTGTCCAAAGTCTCAACCTCTGTTTTTTTTGTCGTGTGGTTGACCAAAACTAGATGCAGGATTCCAGGTGTGGTCTTCTTGCTAGATTTTATAAAGCGATACTAATACTTCGCGTGATTTTTGATTCTGTGGTGTCTATGATTCAAGCAGTGGTGGGATTCAAAAAAAAATTTACTACCGGTTTTGTGGGCGTGGCTCGGTGGGCGTAGCAGGGGAAGGATACTGCAAAATCCCCCTTCCCTCCCCACCCCACTAACCTGCTTTCCAGCTCTGTTCTCCTGTGCAGGGCAACAAAAGGAGACTCAGCCGATCAGCTGGGACTCAATGGGAGGCGGAGAATAGGTGGGGTTGACGGGCCCAGTCAGAGATGGGATTTGCCGGTTCTCCGAACTCCTCAAAATTTCCGCTACCGGCTCTCCAGAACCGGTCCGAACCTGCTGAATTACCACCTCTGGATTCAAGTGATCATCCGCCAGATCTCTTCCAACCCTACTATTCTAAGTTCTGAGTTTCAGCTCACCTAGTTGTGTGAGCCTTCCTCCGTCTAAGACACTTACGGAAGACGCCTCCCTCTTGGATTATAGTATTATATTTTATTTTATTTTTGTGGAGACGGTTCTCTACTCAAACCAACCAAAAGCGGGGGGAGTTTCTCCTCCCTCCCCAAACCTCCTTTGACTTCTCTTAAAGCAAGCCTCCCCTGTGGCTGACATCAGCAGAATTTATCAATTGAGAGACAGGAAACGAGAGCTAAACTGGTGACGTGACCTCTCAGTGGAGATTGGCCGGAAAAACAAGAAGGCATTCTTTCTTTCTTTTTTTCTTTTTCTTTTTCTTTTTCTTGTGGAAAAACCGTTCGGGGGTGTGTGGCTGCGGGGCGCTTGTCAAAACCCACAGCAGAGTTTTTTTGGGGGGGGGGGATCCGGCTTGGCTAATCTCATTTGCATGCTGGCTCGGTTTCCTTTTTTTCAAGCGAGTCTCTTCGCTCTTCAGACAAACATTGCCAGGAGTGGAGCGTAGGGGAGACAGAATCAAGTGGCTTGTCAGCATCTCTTCGTCAGCCTAGCCAGAGCCTCTCTTAAGTCTTTACGTGCATTGAAGAAGGACGTCTCAGACTATGGAGGAGGACAGAAAAGCAAAGGATGGGAAGCTTCAAAAAAAAAAAAGGTCTACGTAGATCGGTTGCATCCAATTTTGGTCGCCACAATGGGCAATGACTTGTCTGAAATGGTATAAGGTCCCCCTGTTGAGCAGGGGGTTGGCTAGAAGACCCCCAAGGTCCCTTTCAACTCTGTTATTCTGGTATATATGAAAAAGATGTGTAGAGACTCCAGAATGAGTGCAGAAGAGAGAAATAAAAATGGTTAGGGGACTGGAGGATAGAACATAGGAAGAACGGTTGCGAGAAATTGGGTATTTCTACTTTAATGAGAAGAAGGACCAGGGGGGTGATGTGATAGCAGTCTTCCAATGTCTAAGGGGCTGCCCCAAAGAAGAGGGGGTCAACCTTCAAAGCACCTGAAGGCAGGACAAGAAACAACGGATGGAAACTGATCAAGGAGAGAAGCAACCTAGAATGAAGGAGAAATTTGCTGATTTTTGCTCAAGCTAGTTGCTTCTCTTTAACCATCCAAGGATGCGGTCAAATAAATCAAAATGGCAATCGAAGTTCCAGCTGTTGTCTATGAGTTCTATCTTGACAAAAATCTCCAGAACCGTAAAGCCTACAGACTTGACGTTTATCACTTATGTTCCTCTTGGCTCCTGGGTGCTCACTAAGAAAGGATTTTTCAAAATGACCGCCATGACATTAGTATTTCGTATATTATTGTTATTATTAACAAGCTCTGGTGTTAAGGAGTTCTACACCTCCTCCCCACCTGAAAATAACTCTGTTCCAAATGCAAAACACAAGCAGAGGAGAGGAGTTTCAGTTTCAGTTTTAGTTTCACAGCGCCAAGCAGCTTTAGTACAGAACAGTTGAGTTAAGCCACGCCCAGGCTCCTTGCTGTCTCCTTCTTGCTCACATAGCAAATACTGCTTCAGTTTCCAAACAGCCCTCAACTCTCCTCACCCACTGACAGGACGCTAGCCAGATGGATACCGATAGATACTGGTAGGCAGAGGCAGAATTTTTCCCCCTTATTTTCCTCCCAAAAAACTAAGCCCGAGGACATAGTTTCGTAGCGAAGCACGAGTATCCAGCTAGTAACTTAATTTTAAAAGTTAAAGGTTAGCAGGTAAGAGGAACGACGGTGAATGATGGCCTTCTGTTCTGGAGAACTTAGAAAGTCAGACCAGCAAAACCCTGCTGGACTTCAAACTGAATCCTGATGCCTTCTCATCAAGTTTGCATCCTACTTTCAAAGCTCTTCCCAATTCTTGCTTCCCCACTTTAGGTCTCCCTGATCTCGTACCTGATCCAAACTATGTCCAAGCGTCCACTTATGTCCAGAGGGCACACCTCTACTCACTCCGCTGCGCAGCTGAAGAGAAGTGCCTCGCAAGGTAACCCTCTCCATGTTTCCCTTCTTTGCTTAATTATTCATTTGTTCCTTCGTTCACTTGTTCAACCTGTGTAGCCAAGCAAGGCACAGCATCTCTGGGTGGGATGCCAACAAATTAGGAGCGATTTTTACCAGAAAAAAAAATCAAATGGGCCAGACTAACCAGTAAGTTATCATAGATTCATTGTTTATCATTCTGTCAATTCAACTATAATTCTATCTTTTATTTAACATCTGTCATTTATCATTCCAGATCTTTATCTATCATTCTAGCTACAATTCTATTGATCTATTTATCTATCATGTCATCTATCATTCCAAATCTTTATCATTCTAACTATAATTCTATTGATCTATTTATCTGTCATCTATCATTCCAGATCTTTATCATTCATTCTAGCTACAATTCTATTGATCTATTTATCTATCATGTTATCTATCATTCCAAATCTTTATCATTCAAACTATAATTCTATTGATCTATTTATTTATGTGTCATCTGTCATATATCATTCCAGATCTTTATCTATCATTCCAGGTACAATTCTATTGATCTATTTATCTATCATGTCATCTATCATTCCAGATCTTTATCATTCTAGCTATAATTCTATTGCTCTACCTATTTATCTGTCATCTGTCAGTTATCATTCCACATCTTTATCTACCATTCTAGCTGTAATTCCATTGAACTATCATTCCTTCTACCCTGGAGAAAAAGTGACTTATGACCATTTTTCACACCTACAACCATTTGACCATTTTTCACACATATGACCATTGCACCATCCCCAAGGTCACCTATATCTAAAATTCAGATATTTAGCAACTGATTTTCACAATTATAATGGATTGTGAACATTATGATGGGATCACGGGATTTCCTTTTTCAACTTTCTGGTGGTCAAAGTCAATGAGGAAGGCAGATTAACTATACCACCATGTCACTAACAGAACAACTGCAACCATTCATGTAACAATTCTGGCAAGAGAGATTGTACAATGGGGCAAAATTATAACTGTCTCGCTGAGCAACACAAATTTTGGGCTCAATTATTGTCATAAGTTGAGGATGACCTGTAAAACAAATCTCTCCAAGTGTGATTACCCAAAGGGGGGCGTGGCACAAAGGCAACACACTCAGATAATCAATAAGGGTCCCTTTATTAGTTCCAACTTTGCTCCCAATGTCCAGATTACCTTCTGGCTGGATAAAACCTCTCCCAGGAACAGCCTTTGACTGCAGAGAATCAAGTCCAAAACATGGTCAACAAAAACTGTAACTTAAAGTCCAATCAAGGCAAGATTAGGTAATTAGTTCGGCAGGGCAAGAGAAGGAATTCCAGACGTGAAGGAATGGCAATAACTCAACACAGTTGGGAGGATGCCAGGAACACAGATAACCAAAGTCAACACAAAATAAACTCACGTTTGTTCCCAACAGATGCTGCAGTCAACATGCATCTCTTTTAAACTCTCATCCCAGCTGTGGCTAATGAAGGGAATCGGGGCCCTTCCCTCCCCCATAAGCCATGCAACCCATGTTGCTCTCTTCACCATTCCTCCCTGCCTGTCCTTGGATGAAGAGGGGTGGGCCTGGGTCTTCCTCTGAACTCCCTCTTCCTTGTTCTACCTCTTCCCTGCTCTGCGTAGCCGGACTTTGCCCTACCCCAGTTTATTCTACAGTCAAGCTGTTCATCTTCCTCCTCGGATTCAGACTCTGGCAGGGGCATGACACCAAGTGTGAAGAGGATTGCAGGCTAGTTTATTGGGGGGGAGGAATAGAAGTAAAAGTCAGATATGGCAAAGGTTATTCTTAATTTTGAAGTCGGGTGACGAATGCCAACGGAACTTAAGAACAATGGTGAGATTTTACTGTCAGCAACACCAAGGAAAGCCTGAATTTGGTAGAAGAAAGCGAGAGGAGGATCTTCCTAAAAAGAAGCCAAAATAACAGAGGGGGTAGAAAACATATTCAGCACCAAGCATGTTTGGCAGCCCTTAATATAGATTTTGAATATATCTCCTTGCTTTAAAAAAACAAAACAAAACTGGAAACTTATCCAAGCCACATCGACTGGCCTCCAAACGTAGAATGATAATTTATTTTAAAAGAGGGGGAAAGTACTCAGCCTGTTCAACTCCATTAAGCACGGATTTAATTGAAGGAGGATTGGACAGCCCGTTCAGGAAGGCCCTTAAATGGAGTTTAAGGAAGGAAGGCTGAAAAAGAGCTCAACAAGATATTATCTGCACAGATTGGAAAAAGTTGTATTTTCAGGGAGATGGAGCTAGTTTGCACGTAGTTTAAACTAGGGCTGTCCTTGTGGACTTCAACTCCCAGAATTGGGCATTGAAGTCCACGGGGTCTTCAAGTTGGTAAGCTTGGAAACCTCTGATTCAAACTTGGATGACTGCATCTGATGAAGCAATCATCAGATGCAGTCATAGTTCACCCCAAAATACTTCTGCCTTTTATTAAAACATCCTGGGCTGACTTCTGGTTTGAAGAGCTTCAGCGAGAGACAGAAATCCGCGATCGTGCGTGGTTTCTGTCTGGGCTTGCTGCTGGAGCGCCCCAGGCCAGCTGGTTTTGGGGCTAAGCCACCCCGTAGAGGTGGTGAAGAGTGGGGAGACCACCATCAGGGTCGAGGAGAGCCGCATCTCTCCTCAGCTGGCCATTACTCCCTTTCCCAAAGGCGGTTGCAGCGGGGGTCAGAAATGGCCACCACAAAGAAGAACTCGACCGGAAAAGAATGTGCAGGAGGAAGATAAGAAGTGAAAGTTTTGGCTGACCGGGTTAAATTGTAAAAGCAACAACCAAGGTACCCTGGAATTTAAACTTACAAGAAATAACATCGCTCCCAAAGAAGAGTCGGAAGCAGCGAAGGAAAGTGAAAAGGGAAAGGTTTGGCTTTTTTTCCCCTTCCCTCTCCTTCCCTATACTAAGAACTAAGAGGCTTAAATAAGAAATTGGAAAAATCCACTTTGACATCAATAGACAATTAAGCTGAAAATAAAACAAAATGCCAAAGGGATAATAAAGATTTCTGGACATTAAAAACTTTCTTTTTCATAAGCAAGAAGGGAGAGAAAAAGAATAAGGGCAGGATCTGGAAGAGGGAGGAGACTGCCTGGAATTAAAAAGAATCTAAAGTAAAACTTCAACAAGACTTCTAAAAGATACATTTTAACTGAAACTTTGCAACTAAATAGTAACCCCAGGAAAAGAAAGTGGAAAAAAAAGAGCAAAAAAGAAACAGCTTGCGTGTATTTGGATTATTTGGTGATCTTTGGATTTTTGGTTATTATATTTGAATGACTAAAATCAATTGGGTGGTTGTTTAAAAATTTATACAATGGCATCACTTCTGGATGAACTGAAAATGGAACTTAAAAAGTACAAAGATGCACAAGAAGGGAAGGGTTCTTTTGGCTTCGTCTTTCAATTCTTAGAAATGGAGATTTGGAACTATGAGAAACAACAAGAAAAGACTGCAAAACAAGAAGATTGGGACAAAGAAGAAGCCATCTTTAATGAACAAGTAATTCTATGTGGGGAAGAAAAAGGAAAGGGGAGAAAGAAAATGGAGAATTTAAGACTTAAAAAAACAACCAAAGAAAAGAAAAATAATTTGAAAAATAAGTATAATACTGGAAAGCAACAGAAAAGGGGAATACAGAAGAGAAAACTAGAGGTAGAGAGACAAGGGGGTAAAAAGGGGAGAGAGAAGAGGAGAGGGAAGAAGGAAAGGAAAAGAAGTTACAAAGGACCGGAGCAAGATATAGAGAAACAGGACCTATTTAGAGATAATGGGTGAAAATCTAACTGAAAAAGGGATTCTGTAAAGGTACATAAGATTGTATTGTTATATTAGTAATAGAAATAACTTTAGAAAATTGGAAACAACGTATGATTAAAATGAGGGATAAAATAGTTAGTGTAATTTAGTGAAATATTTGTGAATAAAATAAGTGAAATAAAATAAATGAGAAAATTGAATTAGGAAGGAACGGGAACATTTTAATTAGTTAATGTTTTATAAAATATAAATGAAGAGGGGGGGAAATAACTATGGAAAGCTTATAATTGTTCCCATAGAAGTATGATATTTAATTGAAGAGTAATGTTAAAGATGTTAAGACTTTAATGAATATTAATATTAATGATAGAATTGAATTAGAATGGAATGTTATTTTAATTATATACATTTATAATCTTTTTTCTTTTTTTAAGAATACAGTGTGTATTTTAAGAATGTACCAAGCAGAATCCGAATGGAAGTTATGTATTATAATGAATGTTACAATTTTAGGGAAAAGATATAAAGGCGTCATACTCCAATCAGTAACTACAGGAGAAATTTTGTTTAATGAGAAAAGATAATAGATAATTGAAACAGGACAGACAAAAAATATAAATACAATGATCTGAATTGAGATAATTAAAATAAAATTGAGAAAATTAAAAGTGGGGAGAAGCTATGCAGAAAATGTAAAATAGTAATAAGATATGGAATAGAATATAAAAATGAGCATGAACCTGACTTTGTGTCTGTACGAAGAAATGTAACCCGGGATTACGCTACTTTCAAAAAAGATGTTTTATTTGTATTTTTTTTCTCTTTGTGAAAACTCAAATAAAATTTACCAAAAAAAAAAAAATCCCGGGCTATTTACAATTCACAAGCACACACACACACACACACACACACACACCAGTATAAGAAGAATCTACTGTCCTAATTGTAAACCAATGGATGCTTTTTAAAAAAATTTATGGGGTTAAACAAGATAACCCAAGATCATCAACAGCTATATAGGGTCCAGATTGAACCTTGGCCAACTCTATACCCAACCTTCCAGTTTGTTCAGGTGTGAATAGTATTTCTAATTCTCCTTTGCCCAGGAGGTTTAAGGAAACTGACCCCTGGGCTTTCATTCTCCATCTGAGCTCCACAACATGAACCCTTTGAAGCAGGGAGAGCAGAGACAGAGCAATTGGCCCAGAGACACCCAAAGAACTCCAGAATGGAATGGAAACTTGAATCTTCTTGATCTAAGCCAAGGGTCTTCAAACTTGACAGCTTTAAGACTTGTGGACTTCAACTCCCAGAATTCCTCCTCCAGTCATGTTAACTCAGGAATTCTGGGCGTTGAAGTCCACAAGGCTTAAACTTGTGGTTTGAAGATCCTTGATCTGAGCCCACTGTTGTAATGACTAAACCTCCTAAGTTGATTCAGTTGAGCACCAAAGTTATATTCCTGCTCTCATATCTCGGTTTCATCTTCATCCAGCACGGCTTACACTGCAGAAGCGACCGATTACGATGTCCGCGTGCTACTGCGTTTCCCGCAGCGAGTGAAGAACCAGGGGACCGCAGACTTCCTGCCCAACCGAGCCCGTCATACTTGGGAATGGCACAGTTGCCATCAGTAAGTGTCCCTCAATGTCAGAAACTGGTTTGTGAAAGTGTGCGGTGTTCTTGTTCAATTTGCCCAACCGGCTTAACCAAGGTTGTTCACTACCTAGCAACTGAATAGCCACCCAGCACTAAAACTGGTTGGCTACAAGTTGCTTGTTTTGGGGATGTTTAGCCTAACAAGTAAACCCTTCTCCACTCTTGTCTATAAGGTTAAGGGTTCAAAGTTTTCTACACATCCAGAAAACATGTCAGGCCCGAACCAAGAAAGACATGTGGTTGATTCTTCCAAACTGAGTTGTTTTTTTTTTAATTGTATCACACCTATCAGCGAAATCTTCTCCTATCTGAATTTACAATATAATCTGGGACCTATTGAGAAGGAGCTGTCTTCACCCTCTTTCTCACACACATGATATCTGAGCTGAGTTGTGTTGAGTTGTAATTGCAGGAAAGTCATTATCTTGATGGCAAACCTCAGATAAGGACAAAAGCAAATACAACTCAGACAAACAAAATTACTAATGCAAAGAAGGATTAGAGAGAGGAAGTAAACATGTGTTAGACTTTAACTAGAGATAATTCATTGTGTTAATTACTATGCTAGACAGTAACAAAGGCTGATCAACCACCAAAGTTAACCAATGTTAGAGGATTACTAGAAATGTGTATAAATACAAGACTAGACTCCAATAAAGTCATCATGATTCATGTGATCATGATCAAACACCTCGATTGCCTCATCATTACAACAGAGTTGCTTCTTCCTCTTCTGGAGTTCACCCTCTCCTTCCTGGGGATCTACCTTCTCACTACATCCCATCACACCTTGGTACTTGCTATGACTGACACATTTTCCTTGTTTATTTGTACTCTCAGACTAGAGGGCAACCAAAGCTGAGGCTTCACACTAGAAGCCACAAGACCCCTCCCCTAAGGAGAACTTCTAGCTCCCCCTCCCCCCAAATACAGCCTTAAAACCAGCGCTTCAGAAATGAGATGGAAGGTAGACCCACCTTCTGACGGTCATCCTTAGCATTCCGATTCAAAACTTGTTATGGGCATCTTCCCACGTGAAAACCTTCCTGTAGGTGATGTTGGGTTTCTTCTAAGCAACCCTTCTCCATTCTCCAGGCATTACCACAGTATGGATGAGTTCAGCCATTATGACTTGCTGGATGCTACGACAGGGAAGAAGGTGGCTGAAGGCCACAAAGCTAGCTTCTGCCTAGAAGACACCACGTGTGACTTCGGGAATCTCAAGCGCTATGCCTGCACATCACATACCCAGGTGGGTTTACTTTGGGGTGGATTCGCTTCTCAAAAATCTCAATTTAATGCAAAGACAATCTCTTAATGACTGATTTCCAACTTCCAAGACTGTGGAAGTATGTTGGCAATATCACGATATTACTAGAGAGTCCAGGTTGACATTTTGGACCCAACTCTTGGGGTTTTGAAGAGTTAGTGGGAATACTTAGAGCAGGTGCATTAGAGTTATTTAGAGCTAAACACATATCTTTGGGAGTGGGTGTTTACAATTGTGCTACATAAAAAGGGGCAGTTTACTATGAAATCTTAGCAGCCCAATCTTGGAGGATTTCAGAGGCTGCAAATCCCTCAGTTTTAGCCAAAAGGTAGGTGTGTGTGTGTGTGTGTGTGTGTGTGTGTGAAGTTCCATTTTAAGTTGATTAGCAGTTGAAATACTAGTCTTTGGGTCTATTCTTGATGGAGAAGGAGAGGGGGAAAGGAAAGGAAGGAGGAGAACGAGAAGGAGAAAGAGGAGGAGGAGGAGGAGGGGGAGGAGGAGATGGAGATGTAATTCTGTGCCATGCCTATTTTCCCATCAAGCATCTTTTCCCAGTCTGACAACTGTTATCTTTCAAAATGTCATCAACATTTGAACCCAGAATTTTTTAAAATTATTCACTTCAAAGTTCAAGCCATGTTTTTGTTTTCTTCCAGGGTCTGAGTCCAGGTTGCTACGACACTTACAATGCTGACATAGATTGCCAGTGGATTGATATCACCGATGTTCAGCCTGGGAATTATATCCTTAAGGTGCGCCATAAAATTTTGAACTTCCCTAATGTTGCTTTCTATTCTTTAGGGAAGTAAAGACTGCGTTATAAGTGAAAAATCCACTTCAAATGACTGTTGAAAAGTGAGGGCTGGAGGTGTTGACACTATAATCAGACACGTCAAGATGACAAAGACACAACGGTGCTTTCAAATGTTTGCAAGGTTGTGTTGCGACACCCATAAAAGCTGGTCTTCAATCATAACATCATGGTCACCATCTCAATTTTTAAATCATACTCTACAACAACGTCTGTCAGCCTCAGCAACTTTAAGATATTGGTTGACTAGGGAATTCTGGATGTTGAAATCCATACATCTTTAAAGTCACTGAGGTTAAAATTGCTGCCCTAGAGACACCCCTCATGGGGGGTGGGCCAAAATACATTGATGAGCAAATCAAGGGACAAAATGACATGCCTTCCCTATCTAAGAAGCTGGTTGGTAGGTTGGTTGGTTAGTGGGTTGGCTGGTTGGCTGGTTGGTTGGGTGGGTGGGTGGAAGGTTAGTGGGTTGGCTGGTTGGTTGGGGTTGACTAGTTTCTGGTTGGTTGGTTAGGGTTGGCTGGTTGGTTGGGGTTGGTTGGCTG